CTGGGGGACTGGAGGGGCTGGGGGGACTGAGGGCACTGGGGGCACTGGGGGGACTGAGGCCAGTGGGGACTGGGAGCACTGCAAGCACTGGGAGGGACTGGGAACACTGGAGGAATGGGGGGACTAGAGGACTGGGAGCACTGGGAGGACTTAGGGGACTGGGGGCACTGGGGGTACTGAGGACCAGGAGCACTGCAAGCACTGGGAGGGACTGGGAGGACTGGTGAAACTGGGAGGACTAAGGGGACGGGGAGCACTAGAGGAGACTGGGGCCACAGGAGACTGGAGGACTGGGAGCACTGGAGGGACTGGGGGCACTGGGAGGACTGGGGACACTGGGGTACAACGGGACTGTAGCACCACAGGGTTGGAAGCAACTGGGAGCGCTGGGACTGGGGTACGGTGGGCACTGGGACAGGAGCAGCGGAGGTACAGGGAGACTGGGGGCTCTGAGGTAGGGGAGCACTGGGAAAAGAGAGGGCTGGGAAATTGAGGGTACTGGGAGCATTGCAGGGGCTGGTGGCAGTGGGACAGGGGTACTGGGATCCTAGGGGACTGGGAGAACTGGAGATAGAGGGAAACTGGGAGACTGGGGGCACTGGGCCTTGGGAACATGGGGGCACCCTGGGGGGGTGGTGAACCGGCACAGGCGGATCAGGGACCGGAGCAGGACGAGGGGACAGGGACCAGGGGATGGGGGGCCGGGGACCAGCACTGGGGTCCCAGACAGGGCCTGGGGCTGTGCTGGGATGGGGTTTGGGGGGGGGCACTGGGAGGGTGTGGGGTGCCCGGTGGCGGTGCCCCTGGCTGTCCACGCAGCACGACGTGGAGCTGACGGACCCCCGCGGCCGGACCCCGCTGGAGCTGGCCGTGTCCCTGGGCCACCTGGAGTCGGTGCGGGTGCTGCTGCGGCACAACGCCAACGTGGGCCGGGAGAACGCCAACGGCTGGACGGGTACGCGGGCACGGGGACCCTCCGCCGCCGGTGCCACCGGTGTGTGGGGGGCACGGTCAGCGGGCGCGGGTGCTGGCGGTGCCCGGCTGAGGGTGCCCCGTGCCCCAGTGCTGCAGGAGGCGGTGAGCACGGGGGACCCCGAGATGGTGCAGCTGGTGCTCCAGTACCGCGACTACCAGCGGGCGACGCGGCGGCTCGCCGGCATCCCCGAGCTGCTCAGCAAACTGCGCCGGGTACGGCACTGCCCCAGGGTGGGCAGCGGGTGGGCATCTGCCCCCCAGGACTGGGGTGCCAGCAGCCTGGGGGCTGGGGAGGGGAGTGGGGAGCCCCTGGACCCCCCAGGTCTCGCCAGGACCTCCATCTTCTCCATGACCTCTTTTTCCTTGGGGACCCCCTGTTCATCCTTCCCTACTGGGCCCCCACCCAAGACCCCGCTCTACCAGGTCCCCCTGATCCCCACCCAGGACCCCAGTAGGGACCCCCATCCCTGCCCCCTCAGACTCCCCATCTCCCCAGTGATCCCAGCAGAGATCCCCCACTCCTCCAGCCCTGCCATATCCCCCCCACACACTGCTCCGTGACCCCCTCGTCTCTTCCAGGCATCCGACTTCTACGTGGAGATGAAGTGGGAGTTCACCAGCTGGGGTGAGCGGGGCTGGGTGAGGGGGCCACGGGGCCGGGGACCGGAGGGGTGCCTCCCCCCGACCCCCCACCCTTCCCCGCCGTGGCGCTGACGGGGCGCGCGTGCCCGCAGTGCCGCTGGTCTCCAAGGTGTGCCCCAGCGACGTCTACCGCGTCTGGAAGCGGGGCGAGAGCCTGCGGGTTGACACCACGCTGCTGGGCTTCGAGCACATGACGTGGCAGCGCGGCCGCCGCAGCTACATCTTCAAGGGGGAAGGTCAGCTCCAGCTCCCGCGGGACACCCTGGGACCCCAAATACCCTCAGGGACCCTCCAGTGAGCCTGGGGATCCCCCCAGACCCCATGCGCTATCGGTACTCCCCTGTAAGGACCCCAATTCCCCTATAGGAACCCCCTGGGGACCCCAGTTCCCCCTTCCAGCAGTGCTGGGGACGACCTCACCCCCACACACACATACCAGGGACCTCAGTCGCCTTCAGGGACCCCCAGTTCCCCACCGGGACCCCCCCCAAGGCCCGAGATACCCCTGAGATGCCGCGACCCCCGGGCTC